GAGACCAGCTTAGCAAAACTATTTATTGGTAGTAACACAAGGCCCACACCAAAACACGGTTTTAATTTGGAGCAGAGGAAGCAGTCGTTTTGCAAAGCAATCCATTTGAGTTCGTTGGATGCAGCTGACCGTTGATGAGGATGCTGTGAGTAAAGAAGCTCCACTTCTCAGAGTCTGGCCAAGGACCTGTCCTGTCAGCGCAGAAACTGGAAGAAGAGCTGACGCCTGTCAGCTGAGCCTGGGTGAGCAGCTGGCTCTTGGAATACCTGTTGTGACTAAAGAATGGCATAAGAGAGCCTGGAATTGCTGCTTTTTTCAGTTGGGATCAGTTCCCAACATCTGCCTTTGGTCTGCAGTGCTGCACGTGGCTCCTCTGTGATGTGGGAGGGTTATTTAACCTGAGCTCCTTTATGAGAAGGAGCCTGTATTAGCCTGTGTTAGAGACTGCTGATTGTCTCTTTCCAAAAAAAAAAAAAAAAATCTTAAATGGATCTTCCTGCTATGGCAGCACTGTGTTTTGTCACCAAGAATACAGAAGCTTAGTTTTCTGCAGAGGCAGTTAATCTTGGAGACAAGAGAGCATGAGAAGTTAAGCTGAGAGCTACCTGCTGCTGGGTCACTGCTCTGGATAAGAGGGGAAAAGGGTGGTCTCAAGTTGAGTCTGGTGCTGTAATTTTACATTTTGGGATCTACTAAAACACCTGATTTTCCTTCACAAATCTGAAAAGGCTTTTTTCCTTTTTTTTTTTTTTTTGGTAGTAATTAAAGAAACCTTAACCTACATAAATACATGTAAGTCTTAACTGTTGAAAAAGTCAAAGGAAGTAGGTGGATATGGCTCTTCAGCGATCAGAGCGAGAACTGTGACAGCTTTTTGACTTTTTGCGCAGTTGTGACAATACCCGCTAGGTTGGCCCATGCTTGTGCTCAAGTGCAGCTCTTGGGCAACTTTGCGCAGGTTTTGAGACCTTTGGGAGGCCGGTTGCTCGGCCTTTCGAGGCCGCGTGTTTCGGGAGCGCCTAGGTTGCCTTCTCTTCAGTCCAGCCTTGTTGGATGCCGAGCTTTCAATGTCGCACACAGTTGGCGATGGCTGTGGTTTCTTTCCCGGGGCTGTTGTAGCACACTGCTGGTGTAGAAGCGAGAGCGCCGTCAGGGATTTCTCAGCCTCCGCCGGGCACCGGAGGAGCAGAGTAGCCAACGTATCCCGTCTGGCACGAGAAACCAAGAAGTGGTGGAAAATCACCCCTTTTCTGTTTCCTTCCCAGTTGGGTGCCCCCATCCTTCAGTCAAAACCAGTGCTCACCACTTCGGTTGCACCAGGAACTGTACAATGTCCCTTCTGTCTCAGAGATCTCTGTGATTTCTATCCTTTCACTCAATTTGATAGTCTTTTTGGAAAATGCTGCCGTTGCGATGAGGTAACGAGTTGTACAGAGCTGGTTATCTGCTGCTTTGTTTTCCTCTGGCACAGCAGAATTGCTGGAGCTGTGCGTGCCTGAGGAATACACCTCCAAGCACTTAAAAAGAAACCAAACCAACAAACAAAAAACAAACAAACAAACGCAGTTGCTTTGAAAACAATATTGCTGAAGTGTCTCCTTATATGCTGGGGTGCTGCATTAGATGCCTCTTCCTCACTTACACCGCGCTGTGGCATGCTGAGAGCAGTTGGGCGAGGAACGCAGGCGCAGGAGCAGTTTTGCCCGTGGGTGTAAGTGGGCTTTACGCTCACCTGCACCCCAGGCAGAACTGGGTCCTTTTGCTTTATGTACTGGAAACATGAGAACTATATTTTTGGACAAAACATTTCTAAGCAGTCTTATAAGGGATATATATTATTTTTTTTTTTTAAAAAAAAGGTGCAAGATTGAGTGCATGTTTACTTGCCCCAGATCAAAGGTTTTGAACACTAAGGTCACTATCTGTTGAATGGACCCTCCTCTTGGCGCTCTTCTGTCTTCAGGCAATTGAAGCTCCTGCCCTCTTTCTCTACCAGTTTTACTGTAACTTTTTTTTCCAGAAGAAATACATATATACAAAAAAATCTAAGCAATTAAATGTTCAAGCCATAAAATCATGAGTGCGGGAAGACCCTCTTCACAAGTTTTAACATATTTGTATGTAAAATGATGTTTGTATGAAATATTTTCATGGTAGAATGAATATCAAAAAAAAAAAAGTTCCAGTAAGATCTAAACCAAATTTAAAAGGATGTCTTTTTGTAAGATGCAAGTGTAATTGATTACCAATAAGTAGATTTTATTTTTTTTTTAAATGAAGGGAGATGCAACAAATGATCTTTACAATTACAAATGGTCGCTTCTGCTATTTGGGAAAGTATTTATGCAGCATTACACATGGCTGTCATAAATAATTGCAATAGCAAGGCCAGTCACGTCTTCAGGACATACCTCTCAGCTTGTCCCTCCGTGATACTGTACAAACGGACCCATCCCTCCTTTCTGCAGACTTCCTCCCGGAAAACCTTTCCTACTGTAGCTGTACTGAATTTAACTCTTGAGCTAAGATCCAGACTAAAATTGTGTATTACCTAACAGTTTCTGCTGGGCCTTCTGCTATTTTAATACTCTTTAGCCCATAATTACTGGGTGTCTCTGTTCTGAAGAACTAAGTGCTAAAGAATAATCCTTGGGGTAAGCTTACACGTGTGTTAACAGTTAACCCCGGAGTACTTAACTTGTATACAGTACTTGATAGGTGTTTTATGACATTTGTACTCGAACTATGAGCCTTATTGAACATCTGTAGGTTTATTCATGACTTTTAAAAAATGGATAACTCTAAGAAAGATGTTTACATGAATGATGATTGCCCTTCCTTTGATGTTATGAATGAGGTTTTTATAGTGTGTTTGGGTGTATGTGCAAGGAAGTAAGAAAAATGTTTCTGGGGAAAAATAGACTTGACAAACATTTGTAATAAGTGAATTTTAAAGATTGCTTTAATTGCGCTATGAAGGCAATGCAGATATTAAAATATTCAACAGAACTGTCGTCTCCCCTTGTTATTTGGGTGTCACGGTTTTGGGCATCCTCCCACCTCTCCCACTTGCTTGTGTGCTGTGTGGTTGCTTTGCTGCCACGGTTATTGCTGATGCACGGGCATGCAGTTAACACACTTCCAGGCCACATTATATTCGTAGGGAACAAACAGCAGAACACTCCTGACACCACTGCCCTGGGGTTTTTTCTCCTGGCAGCTCTGCCCCTTTTGTTATTTGCTTCTCTCTTCTCAATGCACTTAACATGGGCTGTAGTTGTGTCGTGGTATGGAAGAACATCCTCCCTGTTCGTGCCAAAGTGTCTTCAGCAGTTGCATTTTAAAACACGAGGATGTGCATTGGTATGTTTTTCTCTTGCCGTTGCTGACTGAGGCAGTAGGAATGCATGGCAGCGAGCAGCAGCGGTGCCTGCCGTCCAGGCAGAGATTCCCCTACAGCCTGTGGTGAAGACCGTGGTGTGGCAGGTTGTCCCTCTGCTGCCCGTAGAGGACACCATGCTGGAGCAGGTGAGTGTCCGAAGCAGGCTGTGACCCTGCGGGAAGCCTGTGCTACCAGAGCAGGCTCACCTAGTACAGGTTGGCACAGGACGGTGTCCAGGTGGGTTTGGAATGACTCCAGTGCGGGAGATTCCACCACCTCTCTGGGTAGCCTGTGCCAGTGCTCTGCCACCCTCAAAGTAAAGAAGTTCCTCCTCATGTTTAGATGGAACTTCCTATGTTCAAGTTTGTGCCTGTTGCCCAGTGATAGGACAAGAGGTACCACTGAAAAAAGGCTGTTCCCATCCCCCTGGCACCCTTCCTTTAAGGATTTATACGCATTGATAAGATCCCCCCTCAGTCATCTTTTCTCTAGACTGAAAGTCCCTCAGCCCTTCCTCGTAAGAAAGATGCTCCAGTCCCCTAATCACCTTCACAGCCCTTTGCTGGACCCTCTCCAGCCGTTCCCTGTCCTTGATGCCTTACGAAGGTTTAAGGGGGGCAGACACGCTTCAGCGCAGCGCTTGTTTGGGGCAGGATTTGGCTGGAGGCGCTTGGGGTGCGCTCTTGTGCTTTACCTTCCCGGGCCGAGAGGGCACCTCCTGCCTGCCGGGGCACCGGGAGGGGTGGTGGGGAACCGGGGGGTGGAGGGTGCC